GGCCACCTAGCTCTCTTTCGCCCCACAAATGACAGCTATGTGGAGCAAGCCTCACGGCTAGCTCGGCCCAGTTGTAATGACAGATCAACATCCCCAAATTACTTGGGGATGCTGTGCTGTCATTAAACACTAACAACTGGGCGTCACGGCTGGCTCTGCCCAGTTGTTATTCATTGCCCGGGACCTGCTAGAAGACTCTAGCAGGTGCCGGTCAATAGAAAACAGTTGGGTGGAGCTAGCTGTCACTGCTAGCTCCGCCAAATATATATTTTTTCTTTTTTTAAAAATCTTTCTTTTTTTAACTATTTATTCACATTTTGAAAAATTCTCTTTTTTTTCAACCTGTTTTAAAAAAAAACGTTTTCCATTGATTTGCTATTCTGCTCGGTACCACATTTGGATATTCACTCACTGCCGTTCGGCCCATATGGGAATAGGGTCAAACGGCAGCGATCAAAGCTGCCAGAGCTTCGGCTCAGCTGATCCATATGTTGGATTGGCTGAGTCGAAGTCCTTCTCCACTTCGGTTCAGCCGAATATGCAGAGCATGTTCGGCTGACTGAAGTGCATCCGAAGGCAGTCGATGTATGGTTGATTTCAGCCAATGTACAGCTGAATCAGCTGTAGAAGCCAGAAGTGAATAGCCGAACGTTGTTCGGCTCACTTCAATGTTATTCACTTGGCTGCCTTCACCAGCTTTGTGAATAACCCCCTTAAAATCTCTATCAGTTACCCCTTGTTAAAAATACTTAAACCACACCCACATTGTAGGTTTTTTTTCTGAAAGTTTTGCTATGATCAATCATGGTAATTACCAGCAATGTTTTTAAATGAATAATGTTCTGATAGTTTAGTTTAACCACTACATCTCTAGTGCCTTTAAAACCTGTAGTGGACCAGAGGAATTTTTACAGGGCTTGATAAATTAGTCAATATTTAAGATATAATATTTCATACATTGGGCGGGGGTGGGGGGGAAACAAACTAGGCTTTTTTGGCAATATTTTCCTGCAAATTTTTTTTTTTTTATGGAATCTATAGACAGATAGATGTAAAAAACGTATTTTTTTTCTATTTTGGCCAGCATTAGTTTTTTCTTAATAGTTTACTGTAAATAAAACACATATAATTTTATCTATAATGTATCCCCTTTAAAATTACTAAAGTGATATTTCTGGTACAAAGTATGGCAAAGTTATTTGCAAATAAAAAAGACATTTTGCACTGTGGCACTGAAAAAAATGACAGAAACAAACGTCATGAAAACAAAATCTGAATTTTTGTTCATTTTGGATGATAATTACGAATAAAAATTTGTTGCAGAAAAGTGACATTAAATTGACTGTCTACAGAAAAACAAACAACAGCGTGCGGTTCCCTCAACAATTCATAACAGACTCTTTAGGTCTGGTAGGATGTTAAGGGGGACCCTAACATCCTACCTAAAAAGAAATACAGCGTGGGGTCCCCCCTACCATTCCTACCAGACCTTTTAGGTCTGGTAGGAATGGTAGGGGGGACACCCAATGTTCCCCTGGCATTTCACCAGACCCTTTAGGTGTGGTGGGAATTTTAAGGTCGACATCAATGCCAAAAAAGTAAAAAAAAGTCCCCCCTAAAATTCCATACCAGACCATTAATCCAGGCAGCAGTCTGGCAGGGCAGGAAAGGGGGGTGGACAAGCGAGCGGCCCCCCTTCCCTCCACCATACCAGGCCACATGCCCTCGGCATTGGGAGAGTGCTTTTCCTGGGGGACCCCCTGTAAAAGCACCTTGTCCCCATGCTGTTGGGGAGAAGGGCCTCTTCCCCACAACCTTGGCTCGGTGGTTGTGGGGGTTTGCGAACAGGGGGGCTCATCTGCATCTAGGTACCCCCTTTCAACAAATGAATTGTAATGGGTTGCAAGAGTACAGGAGATTTAAGAGTCAGAAGACTCATTATAGCAGAGTTCAATTGACTGTTACTGATTTCTCTTGAGTGTTGGTCTGTACCGGTAAACAGTAGATATCAGTATATTTGAGTATATTTTTCTTCCTAATTGTGAATATATTCTTTGTTCAACTGCACATTCTCTGAGTAGTTTATGCTTACAATAACTGCATGAAACAAAGGGTGGAGTTTGTATTAAAGCAATAATCATTTGCCAAATACAACAACCACATTTTGCACAGGAGCAATATACTAATACATGTTTAAAAAAGACAGATACACAATTAAAACTTTTATTACAAAACAATATGTGCCACCACTGGAAACAACAGTTTTTATATGTAGCACTACTTCATATAACTTAATCTCACAATAAAATAGTGAGTAACAAATAAAACATTTTGGTCTGTTAAATACATCACTGAAACATTGTGGTAATATTCGTTTGATACTTGCAAAAGAAAAACCTGTTGCTCATGACAGAAATTCAGAGCTGTTTTGTGTCTTGTGAGCACATAACCTAATTAGCCCTCCCAGTTATCTTTGGACTATAGAATGATTGTCTCTATAGTGTGAAGAATAGCATAGGAGGTGGTATTGAGTATTTTAGTAGCAGCTGCCAGACATTTAAGGTATTGGAACTCCAAGGTATTATTCTGATATTGATAAAAATATGGACCATGGCATGGACAAACTAAACATCACGGGTGTTTTATTAAAGGGAATCTGTGTGAGAGGGTTCAGATGGAAGTTTCCATTCTCTGACATTTGGCATAGATACCAGTTCTTGAAAGGAATGTAGACACTTGCAGTAAAAGCTCAGTAGCCTTTGGTCCATATACTATATAAGCAGCAACTAGTTTGCTACATCTATATTATTGTACTGTTTCTCGCTTGACAGCGATTGAGTAGGATAGTGTTTTAAATGAACCTGCATTAGCATTATTGAAAACAGAACATTGCATACTTTGTGTGGTGAAATTTAACTACACATGCTTACAAAATATGTAAACAAGACGTTGTCAAAGTACAATAATGATTCAGTCCTAATGCATGTGGCTAGGAGGTCAGTTTAAAGCTCCGTGACTCTATTAGCTCTAATGTTTCTAAGGCATCTGAGGACACATCACCCAGTGCCAGCTTACTTTGACTGCAACTTTCCTAGCTGGAGAAATGGTAGCCAAAGTACAGCTTGTTAAACTGACTGACTCTCTTTTGCTGATCTGTAAAAGAAATAAAGAGATAATTGTGAAAATACTCTGCTGCCCTCTAGAGGTACTCATATGAGCCATCACCAGACCATTTAATGCTAAACCAACTAAAGGACAAAAAACTTTTTTTAATATTTAAATAGAGAGGTGAGGGGATAGAACCAATGTTAGGTTTTCATTGCATCCCTGTTGAGGAGATTCATCCTCTCTAATTGACCTGATTACCAATGTCACCTGAAATGAAAGTGAGTAAATTCTAAATTTCGAGTTGCTACCAGAAATTGTTCCCATGACAACTATCCAAAAGGGGCTCTTCCTCATATTGGGATGATATTTTCTCACATCTTGTTGAGTCAACAGGACAGGGAGTGAAGGGAAATCTCCCTAATGAAACACAGATGGCAAAAATGTACCCTACTCTATCTAAATTGGAAAAAAAACGTTTTGTCTTTGGGATACACTGTTAATTCTATAACACCAAAATCTCCCATGGTGGTGTACAACAGCAGTGTTTAAAGATTGCATCAAGTACCCTATCATGTCATTACAAAACATGAAAACAAAGGAAAATAAATCTTAAGTGTGCATAAGTATTCAACCCCTAAAAGTGAATACTTTGCAGAGTCACTATTTGCTGCAATTATACCGGCAATTCCCTTGGTGTGTGTCTCTATTAGCTTAGCACATATATTCTGCCAATTCATCAAGGCAAAACTTCTACAGCTCCTTTAAGTTAAATGGGTTGAGTTGGTATACAGCAATCTTCAAGTCATGCCACAAATAAATGTATCCCTGCAAAACGCTCTGGTGTAGCTTTAGCAGAATGTGTAAGGTCATTGTCCTGCTTGAAGGCGAATCGGTGGCATACTGAAACATGTTTTCTTCAAGAATTTCCTTTTATTTAGTGCTATCCATTTTTCCTTCAATCCTGAATCCAGTTTTCTAGTTTTCTATTTTCTGCTGATGAAAAGCATCCCCCTAACATGATGCAGCCACTGCCATGCTTCACTGTTGATGGTGGACAGTGTCTTCAGGGTGAAGGGATGTGTGCTCCTCACATAGCATTTCCCTGATGGCCAAAAAGCTCAGTTTTTGTCTCATCTGACCAGAGAACCCTCTTTCATGTGTTTGGGGAATCTGCCACATGCTGTTTGGCGAAGTCTAATGTGAATTCTTATTTTGTTCTTTTAGCAATAGCTTTTTTCTGGCCACAGCTCCATAAAGCCCCACTCTGTGGAATACAGTGCTTAAAGTGGTCCTGTGGACAAATACACCTATCTGCGAGTTTTGAGGGGTGGCCTCCTCTTGTCAGGTGTCTATTGGTGCCAAATTCATTCCATTTTGTTATAATGGATTTAATGGTGCTCTGTGGAAGTTACCTTTTTAGCTGATACAGAGCAGGGACGGCTACAACTGTACTACATGCTGTACACCTTTTTGTATGGCTAAATAGAGAATGAAAAGAGATTAAGCAAAAAGTTTGTAGTGTGGTGCCCCTCTTTTTTGGCGTTATACAGTATATAAGGACAAAGAGAAGCCTGTCAATAGTATTAAAGCAGATTTTTTTTTCACAGTTCCCTCAACATATTTTTATTACCTGTTGATCCTCCTAGTAGATCTGGTATTTTATTGTTATATCAGTGGTGTATAGTGGAGAGTGAATAGGTATATATTAGGTATATAATAGGTATATTATACCTATTATAGGTATACCTAAATATACCTATTATAGGTATATAATAGGTATATAATATATTATATTAGGTACTATATCAGTAGACATTTTTATGAAAAAACAGGTGTACTATTATAGCATCTCATAAACACAATATAACATTAATTTTTTTTTTTTTTGTAAGCCAACAAAAATCAGGCTACAGGGCATTACATTCTGAATGGAAAAGGTGAAGAAGCTAAATCACGATCCTTTATAGACCTTGGTGTGGAATGGGAGTACATCATTGAGGATGATATTGAAACTATACACACAGATGGGCCCTTGCATGATCCTATTGTAGTCTTGGTAAGGAATTTTGCATCTAAAGATATATTACAATGTGCACAAACCCATAACCAGTATTCAGTCATTTGCAACAAACTGCTGCTGTCCATATGCAGGTCCTCAATGAAAGCAGAATTCCAGAATGCCTCTCTGTTCCCTCCTCCCATCCACTCTGTATATTTCTGTTCTGCTTTTATTTTTTATGAAGGTTTCCTCTAAATGGATTTAAAACTGACTTATTGTGGCAGTAACAAGACTTTGATTGGTACCCACACATTACACAGCGGCGCTTTATAATAAGATTTTTTGCAGATACCTGTTGACTATGTTGTGCAGATTCTAAGCACAGACCATTACAGTGTACAGCATTTTATAATAATTCACAGGTGGGAAACTCTGCATAAACTCTTGCTCAGAGCTTTATTTGTATGAAGTTTTGAGGTCCTGAGATCATGTTAAATATCAAGTGTAACCATTGGTAACTTGGGCGCTTTAAAAATTTTCCTCCCACTGGGATCTTCATCTCTTATATGTTTACATGGGCTTGAATGTAAACACGCTAGTGATCATGGGGTGGATCATTTTTTAACACCACCCCTTCCCCATACATCAAAATAATTTTCAGTAATAATCATTAAAATTAAGTGTCATGCACGCCCGAGTTGCAACAGAACTGGCTAGTGGAGGGTGGACAGCAGAATCTATAAATACAATTGCAACTTTATGCAGTGACTGAACCTAGCATATTAGTCCACTCGACCTGCAGGAGTTCAGAGGCGCTATGTCCTGCATAGCTACAGACATCTGAAAATAGGAGTGATGCCTTGAAATGGCGAAGAAGGAAAAATGTGACCACCAAACACTTGGAGATGTGGCCGATAAAATGGGTGTTGCTTTATGGGGTATTGTGTGAATAAAATAACCCCCATCATCGGTGTCAGTAGAAGTAACCCCCCAGCAATAATAATAGGCAGCAATAACAACCCTCCCAGTACTGGTGTAAGTGGTCACAATAACCCCCTTTCATTGGTGGTCAGTGGTTGTAACAGAAAACCTGCAGGATTCAAAATCAATAGCAGGCTGTAATTTTAAACTTCCCACCCAGCATTGGTGGTCACTGGCAGGCTGTAATACTAACCTCTCCCATCCAGCATTGGTGGTTAAGGACTGGCTATAATAATAATGAACCTCTGCGCTGGTAATCAGTGACTGGGTGTAACAATAACCTCCCCCCCAGCATTGGTTGTTATTGCCTGGCTTTAACAATAGCCCCTTCTGCCTTTCCGCAGCATTGATGGTCAGTGGCAAAATGAAACAATGGAATAATGCCCCAGCATTGATGTTCAGTGCTTACTTACCTGAATACCCGCTCATGAGCAGTTATTTCACTAACCACTGGCCAGGACTACACTTCTATTGTTGGCCAGAAATCACTATGCCTGACAGTTCTGGCTTCTTTCACTGCATAGAGCATTCCAGCACGTCACACTACCGCATGTCCCCAAAAACTGTGCCAGGGCACCCTCTAAGTGTTGGTACCCGTTACAACCCCCCCTGCCCCCCCACCTTAGGAAAGCCACTAAAACATGTTGTATGTATTTGGACTCTGAATTCTGTTCATGTCAGGGTACCATGCACAGGCGTCCTCACACCACATGCAGGTACCCACGCAGGATGACCAAATTAATATGACCACACTGGATGAGGTTATGCACAAGGTTTATTTGTTACACAGCAAACAAAACTACAAACCCCCTACAACTCCCACAGGTTTAGCAGTGAAGTAACAAAACCACGGTTGGACCAAACACACCTACAGCCAGGGGGAACAGCAACAAGTAGGGGTAACAGGACTGCAGATAGACAGCAGGCCTCAGGATACAGGAAGAGTGGTCAGGTAACAAGCCGGGTCGTTAACAGGAGGGCAGCATGGTACAAGAACAGGATCCAAGAAGAGTGGTCGGGTAACAAGCCGGGTCGTTAACAGGAGGGCAGCAGCACGGTACAGGAACAGGATCCAAGAAAAGTGGTCAGGTAACAAGCCGGGTCAGTGACAGGTTTGCAGATAGGAAGCAGGGTTCAGGAAGCAGGGTTCAGGAAGCAGGGTTCAGGACATGGGAGTCAGTCAGGTGCAGGCGACGCAATACTGAGCCACCTTCCTGACTGCAGGGAGGGCCTAAATACCCTCCCAGGAAGCACCAGGTGATGGGATGATCAGTCACAGCCTGGGCACACCCGCAGGTGAGTACTGGAGCTGCAGGTCTCCAGCACCACCCAGTGGTGGTCTGGTTCCTGGCAGTTCCTGGCTGCTGGAGACACCCGCAGGCGAGCACAGGAACTGCAGGACCTGGCTCCAGCGCCACCTGGGGCTGCTCTGGATACTGACAGTTCATTTGGCTATGAGGGAAAACATTTCAAGTTAGGGCTGCAGAGAGAAAGGATTCTGGGAGAAGACACATTCAATTCTATTTGGAAATTGTAGAAGATGTTTGTGGTCTGGCTCATACATTCTTTTTAATGTAGGTGGCTGAAGATATTTGATGTGGTGGGCAGGTGGAGCACAGCACTCATTGCTCTTGCTTGCCCCTGGCCCTAGAACTTAAACAATGTCGGTGTGCAAATTAAAAAAAAACCACACACACATTTACTAACCTAAGAATCTCAATTAAAATATTTTTAAAGGCTCTTCTAAAGGTACCTTCTTTGTGCATCACTCAGCTGTAGATTCTCAAATTATCTCTGAATTCATGCTGACACTATCCTTCCTTGTGGAGGGTGACCTCTTTTGTTCCCCATGGTCCCTGTGTGTGTTGTAAAGTAGCCACTGCTCCAAGCTCACTCCAGTGATGGACTACAATCTCAATAGAAATTAGTAAACTAAACTTGAGATTGTAGTCCATCACAGGAGCGAGCTTGGAGCAGTGGTTTCTTTACAACACACACAGGGACCATGGGAAACAAAAGTAGCCACCATCCAGAAAGAAGGGCAGTGCCAGCACTAGGGATGCACCAATACCGTTTTTTTGGTATCAAGTACCGATAAAAAAATTTCGGTACTCACCGATAGCGAACACCGATACCGAATACCGATAACGGCTTCCTACCGATTTGGATTCCTGATTAGCCGAGAAGCCAGGCCACCGTGTAAAGTCTTGCCACCTGGCTTCCTGATTTAGCATGGAAGACGTCTCCATGCTTCCTCATTACCAAGTGACGAGGAAGCATGGAGCCTGCTTTCTGGCCAGTCAGGAAGCCGGGCGCTGTGTAATGACTCGTTGCCCGGCTTCCAGATTGGTCGAAGCTGGCCAATCAGGAAGTCGGGCAATGAGTCATTACACGGCGCTCGGCTTCCTGATTGGCCGGGAAGCTGGCTCCATGCTCCCTCGTCCCCAGGTGATGAGGGAGCATGAAACCGGCTTTCTGGCCAATCAGAAAGCCGTTGGACGGGTAATGACTTGTCGTCTGGCTTCCTGATTGGCCGAGAAGCTGGACATCGTGTAAAGACTCGCCACCCGGCTTCCTGATTTAGCATGGAAGTTGTCTCCATGCTCCCTCATTACCAAGTGACGAGGAAGCATAGAGCCCGCTTTCTGGCCAGTTAGGAAGCCGAGCACTGTGTAATGACTCATTGCCCGACTTCCTGATTGGTCGAAGCTGGCCAATCACGAAGTCGGGCAACGAGTCATTACACAGCGCCCGGCTTCCTGATTGGCCGGGTAGGTGGCTCCCATTCCTGATTGGCCGGGAAGCTGGCTCCATGCTCCCTCGTCCCCAGGTGATGAGGGAGCATGAAACCGGCTTTCTGGCCAATCAGAAAGCCGTTGGGCGGGTAATGACTCGCCGTCCTGTTTCCTGATTAGCCAGCTTCCCGCCCAATCAGAAAGCCGGGCAGTGTGTAATAACTCGCTGCCCAGCTTCCTGATACCCGAAGTTCAGTTATCGGGCTAGGCATTGGAGCATTTGGGGAGTATGAGTACTCACCCAAATACTCGGCATCGATAACGATACTAGTATAGTGGTACACAGTATACTAGTACTAGTAGACAATTCAGAGATGAGTTGAGGATCTACAGCTGAGTGATACACAAACAAGGTATTGTTAATAGGTAAGGAACTTGAATGCATTTCTAAGATTTAACTCCTGAGTACATTTAAATCACTTCCCTCACATGGTAGCACCACCTTTATCACCTCCCACTAATGCTGAGGAAGTAAATGGAATAGACTCTGCAAGATGACATATGGATAACATAAAATATGGTTAAAAAAAAGCTAACACAGATTTGCATGTATGCAATAATATTAAATTTCGATATCAGCAGTTTTGCGTAAACAAAAAATAAACAATGAGAGAACATCAAGCCAAAATGGATCATGCTGATGAATTTCTATAGGGCAAGTCAATTTTGTACAAGCACTATGAGCATGCTGTGTGCTAGAAAATTGCCTTTTCACAATTTTACCTAGGTATTTATATCTGTCTAAATTATGGCAAATTAATGCACATGTGAAAGGGTGCATCCAGAGAATAACGAGTATAATACAGTTAACACAACATATGAAGTTATATACTGTAACTTTGTAGAAATAGGGTTATTGATTTCTTTCATGTCCATACGCGGTTTCATACTAACCAAAGACACATTTAGAGAATAAGTATAGAATGAACTCAGTTCAACAAGAGATTTGTTCAGAAAGACAAACATCAAGGAGTCAGCATGAGATAATCGTAGAACACAATTGAAAAACACACATTTATATAGAGCACTAAGATCAAGGCACCATACTCTCAAACAGTAGTCCAGGTAATATGGTAAGTGCAACAAAAAAGAAAGAGTGACTTTCACTTGTACATAATGCATTTAAAGAGGTAACAGCTATGCCAAGGTCTTTGTTTAGTTTTGGGATTTTGCACTTACTACTTGAAAGTGTAAATGATGAAGAGTATGCATCACACTGTTTGACTTTACCAAGGGCAATTTTTTGCATTGAGTGGATCATCCTCTCTTGTATCACGTTGCATCACTAAGCGCCAAGCTGTAATCACTTCAGCAAAGCTGCCACTAAAATGAAAAAGCAGATGATTATTATACTTTTGTTTTTGTTGTACGTACAAGAGAAGCAATACAGTGGGACAAATACATCCACATATGAGAGAAAACACCATCTGGTACTATTCTTCAGATTTATTTTACTTTTATTAACTGCCTCCTCTGTCTGAAAAACAAATTAAAATGAAGGATCTAATGAACTCTTTCTTGGAGCTCATTAGCGGCCAACACCATATAAATTTCAGCAAGACAAAAAAATACCAGGAATATTCATGGAAAAATGTTTGTTTGGCTGGCAGGACCATTTGGAGGCAGAGGTGTTTTGTATTCTCCATGCAGAATGTTCTGATTTCCACGTACTGTCAGAATACAGTATTTCAAAATGTTATACGCAAACTTAACACTTGCTCTGTGTTGTGCTTTGTAAAGGTTATACCTCAGGAGAATGACACAAAGTCCAGCTTAACTTATAAATACATCATTCATGAAGACTCTTTGCCATCAATAAACAATAACAACGTACTGCAGGAAGAACTTGATACTTACGAGTGGGCTTTAAAGACCTGGTCTCAGTGCTCAAAACCATGTGGTGGAGGTGAGAATTTTGCTGATTCTTTTAAATTGATGCCAAAGATTAATTAAATACTGTGGCACAGAAACCAAATATAAATGGTTTGGAGGCGCTTATCTAAAGCAGAGATCCATGTTTTTTTGTCTTTTTTATTCCCCCGTTTAAAAAAAAAGAATGCCAATCTTTACTTACCCTCTCCACGAGCAGAATGACACTTTGTCTATTAATTTACCCTAGTGGGCCTATCATCACGCAGGCTGAGCTCACAGTACTTCAGGACTGAGCAGTGCCTACGCATTATTATGTGAGTGCTGCTCAGTTCTGTTCAGAATGCTGCCCTCTGCTGCCACTAGGGGAAGCAGGGGAAATTGCGGTAATGTCACTGGACATTGGCAAGAAGGCTGCAGGAAAAAAAGTACAGTATGTATAGAAGGTATTAAAAAAAATACTGCGGAGTGGGACTTCATGCAGTGGGGGTTTCAGAGGGTCATGGAGTGAGGCAGTAGCCAGGCCTGGATTTCCCACAAGGCCACCGAGGCCCGGCCTCGATAGAAAATGGATCAGATGTAAAGTCTGTAAATGTTCAAAACTCTGAAGATGTCCATATATAAACAGCAATCGTGATGAATATTTTTTGTTCCTTCAACAAATGCACGTTGTGTACCACACCAGATATAGAGGTGCTCACCTTATTGTTAGACCCCAACAAAAGGTCAAATCAGGCAATTCCCTTCTTAACCAGGAGAGGGGGCCCTCAGCTCCAGTCGCTCACAGATGTCCTAAAATGATGTAATCAAACCAGCAGACAGATCTTTGTATAACTTCTATAGTAGGGAAACAATAACCTCCAATGTTTATTGAACTGTAGGCCTCCTCAGTATAGGATGTCAATACCAGGATTGTTTTATCCAAAAAGAGAACGCAAACAGAGTATGGTTTATTAAAAGAAAATGACTCACAAGAAAGCATTGATAACACAGCATGGAATCTTTCCCAAGGAGTGTATGCAGGAGTTTCAAATGACCTCGGCCGTCGGCCATAGAGATCAATGTGACGTCAGATGCTCCACCCTAAGCGCGTTATGTCCAGCGTGACCTCATCAGGGATCAGGCTTAATCAGCCCTATATCCGGTGTGGTACACGAGGTGCATTTGGTGAAGGAACAAGAAATGCTCATCACTATTGCTGTTTATATATAGACATCTTAAGAGTTATGAACATTTACAGACTTCACATCTGATCCATTTACTATTTATTCACTGACATTTGTTTGGCATTGCTCATTGTTGTAGCTCGGCACATTTAGTTATTCAGTAATTAATTTTTCATGTATACACACTCACAATGGGTGTACATTCCAGTGCCTTGTAGCTGTTAGCTAACTTATTGGCGCAGTTCATTTCTATATAACTTAGCATATTTGCCATACTCTTAGTACCCAAATGCTTTTTGCTTCATCTACCACAGTTCATGCCTTCCTAACACCCATTCCACCATCAGAGTAAAGCTGAGATAGGACTATAAGCAATGGTGGATGATAACAGGTGCACATAGTATACATATAAATGCATTTATTTAATACAATAGTAACTGTTTATTCTTATGGGATACCAACAACACACAGTTAATGCACATGTGATACCTTAAAAATTAGGCCCTTAACCTAAAATCCTCATTTGAATACATCAGCATTTGGTATCTGCACCAAGTGCAATAAATCGTATAACTCCTTTGTATTGTCAGCTTTATGCTGGCAAATTTGTGAAAATCCAATCATGGCACCGTACCAGGATGTGACCTTTTTTATACAAATGCCCGACTATGTAGATACCATTTTCATTCCTACACATTTTCCATTATACTGTATAGGATTATTTGAATATTCACTAAGCCTAAATTGGTGTAAGCTTTGTTAGCATAATAGGTACATTGCATGTTTTTTTTTTTAGCGGAATAAAGTATACACTGTAATTCTCCAAGTTGTAAAGGGCAGACAATTGTTTTCTTTCTGCATTTTGTAGGTTTCCAGTATACAAAATATGGTTGCCGCAGGAAAAGCGATAATAAAATGGTTCATCGTAGCTTCTGTGAAGCCAACAAGAAGCCAAAGCCTATCCGCCGGATGTGCAATCTACAGGAGTGTACACAGCCAATGTGAGTGTTACTTCTGTCTGGCATTAGCTTTTGTATGAACTGGTGCTTATTTATGTTTCCTGTAGTGCAGCACTGTAAAGGAGGAAAAATGTCTTAGATGTATTAAGGAAATATATATTGTTAAGGTTTTATGAAGCACCTTAATGTGATGTGGCAGTGTACACAGTAAATGTTACAAACAAGGCTGAGTACATAGAAACCTGAACAAAATTATCTATTGTGAAAATACACAGTGAAACATACATAATAAAACAAGATACAATAAGAGTGAACGTCCTGCTGAGAAAAGCTTATAGTCTAGAAAAAATAAAGCTATAGTCATATACAAAACAAATATGCCTCACAGCAGAAATATCATTTTTAGCATATACGTAATGCATGTATAAGTAGCTGCACATATGTTTCTCAGACTGTGTACATGAATACGTTTAAAGCTGACCTTTAGGAATATATATATAACACCTATAAATGTGGTTCAGTGTCTATTAATTTTAATGTTTTCATTAGGTTTATGGCCAGCTTTACACTAAAAGCATTGAAAAAGAATGAAAAGTGAACACATTCATTTGATTTTCCAGGGCAAATTGTTCCATAAAAAAAAAAATTATTACAATTATTTTTGAGTTGCTAAGTTCAAGTAACTTGTATAAGTTATGATCCTCTTATCTAAATGATCTGATGTTGAACAATCATATATTTTATATATAGCCAGCTTAAATATCTTAATTTGCCTCAATACTCAGACTCTTTAGGGCCCAAGTATATGGGCATAAAACTCATAAGCAAGTCAAATATAGTATGCTTTCTGAATAGCTTTCACTTACATTTGAGTTACCTTGATTTTCCTTTGAATTTGTCAAACTGCCTTTTTTAAAGTGCTAATACATTGCATCCAGCTGCTTTTGCATTCACATTGACTTGTATAGGGAAGAAAGCAACTCAAATGCAAATAATAGTCCTGTGTCCATGTGTCCTTAGCCTCCGGCCTCCTTAGTAATTCTGTGTACAGTTACACTCAGATTGAGAGAGGGAGGACAAGCACAAAGAGCCAAACCAGCTTTGTTTTAGTGCACATGTACTGACAGGAGGAGGCAGCAGAGTTATAGACTTATCAATTGGCTCATTCACCATCTACAGTAATCAGCAGGCCGGGGTTGTGTTCTTCACCAAGTTGTGCTACTGCAGTAACGATCCTTGATCACAAGACTGAATACACAGATATACAAATCTATTGGCAGATAAAACAGTTCCTATATATGTATTTCGGCTGGGTATTTATGTTCCTTCCTGGAGCTCAGCTTTAAGAGGGGACTGCTAGTGGAGCATGGCCCAACCTCTAAGAATAATGTAGCCACACTGTTTGGAATGAACAAAGTTGATGACTAGACTACATGAGTGTGTGAAGGAACCAGGTCCATGAAATTAGAGTTTAACAAGATAAATCAGCCTAAACATGGATGTCAATCATTTTAATGCCATGATGTAAAGTGAGACCCTCATTTCAGATGTTAGGTTGTAAGGAGTGTTAGCAAATTATGGCCATGTCTTAATGAATGTAATGGTCATTGCATGCTCTCTGCGTGGAGATGAGCACACGGAGTCAGCACCATCTTGTCTCTCACCTGGCGCTGCAGCTGGGAAGAAGTCTGTGAGCTTCCGAAGCTGGTGGTGGCTTTTTCCCCTATTTGGCATATACTGAAGAAGTGGGTGTTGAGAGAGATGGTTGTATAGGTAGACCCCTGGTTGCTATAGTATCTGTCATCAGTGGGACTCATGCAAGTGAAGCTCCCTCTTTGAGCAGCCATTTCATGCAAAGGCCAGACATGCCCTCCCACATTCCTGATTTCAAAATGAAATGTCATTTTGTGCATGCAACTGCTTATGATCATATTAGATCTGTGCGTGCTGCACTTGTATAGATATAGACACCGTATACATTTTACTTAAAAAATGACAACTCGGACTGGATGTACTGTAGACCCACCGAAGTGAGAACTACCCTACCTCCAATTTCGGAGGACCATCCATATGGCAACTCCCCAATGTCACACCCACTGCTTTCCTTATGTCATCCCTGAAATAAGGCCCCTTGACGACCAACCTATCCCGCATATTCCAGGTAGATTTCCAAATAATGATATAGTCGCTATACGACCTTGTGAGGCTATTAGCAGCATAGTTTATGTTATCCGCTCATTCTCCATGGTATACCAAGCGTAGTTTTCTTCCCCCTCTTTTCCTTTTCCTTTTCTGTTATGGATGTTCAATATTAATCATTGAGGGCTATGTTTTAGCTTAGTAGTCTGAACTGCTATTATGAATCCACACTATCAATGGAGCGGAATGTCCTGTATGATGCCTCCTCCTTATGTGACAGGCCTGCTTCTGTCCTTATGAATGTGTGAGGCGCATATACCTCTGCTGTCATTACACTGCTCCTCATGCAATTTTTGTTCATCTTGTGTTACATCCTTTAAATGACCAATAAAAATACATGCTTAAAAAAAAAATTACAACTCAGCTAAGCTTAGAAGTAGAAAGCAAAGCATGTGTTCCCCAATAAATTAAATATATCCTCTTTTTTTCTGTATTACATAATAATGGTCCTACTGTGTCTCTCATAGCTGGGTAGCGGACGACTGGGAGCACTGTACAAAAAGCTGTGGAAGTTCTGGATATCAGATTCGTGTTGTACGGTGCATTCAGCCCCTTCATGATGGTACAAATCGCTCAGTTCACAGCAAGTACTGTAGTGGCGAGCGTCCAGAGAGCAGACGGGCATGCAACAGGAATCCCTGCCCAGCACAGTGGAAGACGGGTGCCTGGTCTGAGGTCAGTGTCACAACTTGTCCACACAGTCTGTTACAGAAATACTAATTACAGTGATTATAACAGGTAGCTAAGTAGAGTACTTCTAGTAAGAAATATTCTCAACAATGCTTACTACATAAACATAGGTGTAATGTGAATAATATCCCAAAAATGTTTAAATAAATAGAAAATATTATAATGTAATAAAGGGATTTTGGTGTTATAGTCACATGAGGGACATACCTCTCCAAATCCGTGCTGGAACCACTGTAGGAGTAAGGTGTGCAACCAACCCCAAGCTTCAAAACTAAGTTTGACTTATTGGGGGGGATTTATCAAAGCTGGAGCAGACCAAATCTGGAGCTGCTGTGTATGGCAACCAATCCGTTTCTCTCTCCAGTTGGTTCAGTTAAGATTTGAAAATGAAAGAGAGAAGCTGATTGGTTGCCATGCACAGCTGCTCCAGATTTTGTCTGCTCCAGTTTTGATCAATTCCCCCCATTCTGTCATTTCCATTTCCCCATTGGAGAGGTAGATGCCCTGGTGGAAATAGTTCTTCAAAAAAATACCTGCTGTGAGTAAAGGAAAATGGAAGCCTAAGCATTTGCTGAAAATACAGATGCAGAATTGTTAATTTTTTTATTGTACCATGCTGGAAGAGAAGACACGCATCCTTGTTCTCATAATATAATTTTTTTTAGTATGTTACTGCTTTCTAGATATGATGTATTTTATGGTATATAATATACATATACTATATATATTTATATACTATAATTAACATTTATTCATGTGTAGGTGTCAGTTTTGTATTATATAGCTCACAGCCATTCGCATTCGCAAACATTTTGAAAGTCATCCATTTAAATGTAACAGCTTTCTTCAGCATATGCTAAAATACGTAGCTACCTTAAATCGAATGCAGGAAAGAACAAACTCAATCCTTGAGGGTATCTACAAAGCTGTAGCTTTTGGAACTAACCAGGTGTTACTCAATGAATGAGGCAGTTTTGAATGTGCTGCCTGGGATTATTTGTGGCTATCTATAAAATCTGGCCTTTTAAAAACCACTGAGGCTGAAAGTTATGCAGACCTGCAGACTATTAAATATAAAGCAAAGCCAAACAGTATTTTTTTTCCATTTCTTGTCTTCAGCTGAACTTGTTTATATTTACCAATAGCAGGATCACTCAAAGAATGCATTTCTATTTAGTTTGCTAATACATTTATTGCCTAATGGATGGAAAAATTAAAATAAGCCTTAAATGGACCACTAAACAAACAACCAAAGAAAATAATGTAGAGACAGTCAATTATACTTATTTAACTGTGCTATTGATGGATACGTTAAAGAACTATTTGTGCTGAACCATGGAACCATCAGTTAATCTATATGAGCTGGTTTGGAGTACATTTTTTTAATAAATTAAAATATTGGATTAAACCTAAAGCCAAAACTTTTTTCCCCCCTTTTTTTATAGAGTAGAGAAAGGTTAAAACTGCTGTCAGTATTATTTGTCATCTGTGTTTCATTAGGGAGATTTATTTGCAGACACAACAGGAAGTGAGGATATATTTCTAATGTGAAACAAATTTCCTCATAGACAGTTGTCTATGGAAACAAGTGTCTGTGTGGGAAGATTTCACCTCTATTCCTGCTCTGGTGGCCACTCATGGTTTTGGATTTACCCTCACTTCTGTTCCTGGTGACATTGGTGATCAGGACAATTTGAGATAGTGAATCTATTGACAGCAATTCTAACCCCCTGAGCAGTTTATTCATAGCTAAACAATGAAAAGATTTGACTTTAGTTATAATTTAAGCTATTAACATACTTATATGGACATTATATGATGTTATGGCTATTACAATGCATTTGGCATTTTGTTTTAATTTGATTGTACTAGGATTGTTTAACTTTTAGACTACTTGTTATATATCTAGCTGTTAACACTGGAGCATACTTTATTAACGGCCTTTCTTATAGTTTATAATATGTAAAATGTTACCAGCATTAAAAGAGCAAGTGGCACTGGCTAAGCTTCTGTATCAGATGCATATGCTGTTTCAGCATACCTTATGCCCAACATACTCCATATAGTATATGAAAATAGCAGCAAATTGGCTCACTTACACACTTCGTTGCTCTTCACCCCTACATAGAGTAACAATAGGAGATTCCAAAACAGTAAAACCTTAGTTACTATCCAACTTGTTTTGCAAGACTTAGACCAGATTTACAATGTTTTGTTTAAGAATATTCATTCTGAATGGCACCCCAACACACCTTCCCAATGCACCTGCATTGCAGCACACAACAATGAACATGAATGCACTACTATTTACTGTGGTTCATTGCAATGCTAAGAATGGTGCATGCACCTTTTTTTCCTGTGCATTTTGGTGCATTGGGCAAACCATTCAAATGAATGGGCTGCTTTTATGCATCACATTATAATGGGACATAGTGCCTGTTAATGTGCATTGATGCTCTGCAATGGTACAATGTTCTGCCTTTATATTACCATCCCATAATTTCCATCACACCAAATCTCAGGTTGAAAGTGGGAGTGCTAGCACTGAGCATATTCTCGAGTGGTATTAACAAACTACATGTGCCCCTTGACTGTACTATAAACTTTATTTTAAAGGTGAATTAACCCTTTAAAGTCTAGTTGCGCTTTCAGTTTAAATCAGCTAAATGCATTCCAGGTGCATCAAAACAAAAGGTGTGCAAAGTCTTGCAGTTTGTTTAATTTAGAAAGGAGCCACAGCCTGCGTAGAAAAGCCTATCCTCCGTCAGCCAGCTGTAGAAAAGGACCCTTGAGATATTGTTGTGGAAGCAGTGTTCCCTCTGCATAGGGAGCTTGAACTTTGCTGATTGCAATGCTATAGGTGTAAATCAGCAGGTGGCATATCAGACCTCTGCAATAATACTACTGCTTTTATACATGAAATAAGGGTCATTTTTGACAGCATGCTGGCAGGGATCAAGCTATTGCTACTCATGCTGTGGCTGTTTTCTAAAGAAAACACACCTATGAGACCTGTCACATGTTTTGTTTTAGTGCACCGGAAATTTTGAAATTGATTTAGCTGATTTAAACTGAACGTTCAAATGGGTTTTAAGCTTTTATGGCATTTTTTTTGAGGCCATTTGTATTCAAAATGTAGTGGTTTATGGCATACTGTACAAATAGAGTGAGTAGATGTGTTGAAAATAAAATTATATAGATTTACTTTCTCCAACCCTCTACCTGTGGAGTTTCCACACAGTATTATTACCACTCTGGCTCTTTACGATTAGGATATTTAGACATCATTCTGCTCTAGCTACATCTGAATGATCATACACTTTCTTGTTTAATTGAATTATGTCTATAAAAACTAATGCAAGAATGTGTTGTTGGAGGACCTAAGCCTCCTGATTTATTGTCACAGCTACATTTTATCTGTATAAAATACCAAAAAGGAGTACAGAAGATTGTTTGTTGTTTCTTGAACTGTAGTTAGTCTTCAGACTCTTCTCAACATCCTCTGCACACACTTTTCTTACAATGTTTTCACTGAATAAAGACACAATTATTTATAGGTGAATAAGAGAGAAACAAAATGATCAACATATTATTTTTGTAAATGTTGATGTTTGGAAGTGCCCCCTTACCCTGATGCCCAAATGTCATTCGGATAAATGTAGTCCTAGCTGTTAAATATTTTTTGCTGGAGATGGTTTCATCAGGATCTTGCTCAACAGATACTAATGCATTTCTCTTTAGTTAGATTAAACAGAAGGTATTTACATGTCTCTTTACATAGCATATCCCCAAAATAAGAGGATTATTCATCATTTGTTTTCATACCCTGCACTGATGATGGCCAGGTAGCCTTAAACAACTGTATGCAGTTTGGAATAAATGACTTTATATTATTAGGCTAAATTTGCAGTGTACGCCAGTGGTTCTGGATGTGCATCTGGCCAATGGGGCGATGGTTTGCATGGCTGTACCCACTGTTTTGAAAGCAGGAATAACCAACTGTTTTTTAGATATGTGATGGAGTAAGACAGCTGAAAACCCTCTGTTTTAAGAAGGTTTTACTATGCTACACACTGATTACAGTGAGGGCTTTTCAATTGCTTTAGTCCCTTCTCATGATAACCTGTAGGGTTAAACTTCATGTCACCATCTTGCAGTCTTTAGCTCTCTGGACCAAGGGTTTGACATAGCCAAGGGTTTGACATAGATTCCAGCTTAATGTAAAATTAAAATATTTTAATTGAGAAACATATATCTGCTAAACGTGTCTATGCAGACAAGTAAATGAGCAGTAAAGCACACTTGATGGACCAGGTGGTTGTACTTTTCTTTTGTTTAATTTGTGTGAACTTTGTAAAATAACAGCCATTAATGTTATGTACAAAATGGACTGATTTGTTTTAAAAAAAAAGAACGCTGAAGCAGATAAGAGATGTAAGTAGCAATATTAAAGATGAAACCAGGCAGCATAACACCATCTTACAGAGGGTGGGGTTCATGGTTTAATATTTCTGTTACTGATCTCAGCTCTGATCTTTTATTTCTGATGCAGTGTTCTGTGACCTGTGGTGAAGGTATTGAAGTGAGACAAGTCCTATGTCGTTCAGGTGATCAATGCGATGGAGAGAAACCAGAATCTGTAAGGGAATGCAAGCTAGCCCCTTGTAATGGTATGTATTGCTTTTCACAGTTCAACACTCTCTTTACAAGAACTGACTTTATAAAGCTAGTGAGCAGAATCACAAAGACCGTAAATCCAAGAGCTCAGGGTACATTTTTCTTTCAGTTCTAAGGAAGAATTCTTGATGTTATTTTTTCCTTTGTCCCTTATGTTAGGATGTACAAGTGTGTTTCACTAAGGTATTCAGGGTAAGAGATATGAACTATGAATGCTAAACTTCAAAAACAAGATGATACTGATAACTGCTACAGTGTGATAAGAATGGTACTAAAGAGCCATCAAACTACAGTATAAGCAAATATACATGGCTATAAGTTAAACTTTCTAAAGATGGAAAAGTTCAAACATACTTGGGTTAAGGGGACTTACACGAATCATCCACCAACCATGGCAGGAAGAGATCAACCTAAATATCCTGGCATGAATGGAATGTCCCTGTAACGCTCTGCAGTCTATTTTTCTAATTTATCCAATGTATGTGGTGCAAAATGCATTTTTATCTTTTCTAGGGAAAAAAGTGAATTGTTATTTTATTCACATACACAGATGTGTTTTGTTGACAGCTGCTGAAAATTAACCCCAAAGTGGCTTGATTATTGCAAATATTCCTGTTATCATATTTGTCAGGACACTCTATAACAATGCAAAGGGCAAGGATATCCCGTAATTAATAGAAACAAATTAAATAAACCCCAGGCAGATATAAATAAATATACTTGTAGTCATGGAAATAATATTAGATTCATGTTACATAGTGCTAGCATAATTGCAATGTTCTGTCTTCATATTACCATCCCAGAATTTCCTGCCCCCCAAATCCAAGTAGAAGTGCCAGCACTGAGCATATTCTCTAATGGTATGACAACACTGAGCAAATGAAGCTCCATTGCGTTAAACAGTGCTGTTATCCTAGCGGCTATGTCAACAGGTTTTGTTCACTCGATCCCAGATAGCAAGCAATTGAGATGCAAGTTTGAAAATGACTTGCTAAACTATTGCTAGAATTACCAAGCTTCACAATTTTGTTGCACAATTACAGCATTTCTGTATTGCAAGTCTCCAGATCAACGTGCTTTGCAAAAGTGCTGTACACTTGCAGAGCTCTTGCTAAGACCTGCAGGACTCTTGCTGTAGACTTACCAAGAAAATTTGCTACTGATTCAAAAAGTGTCAACTAGAACTTGTGCTGCAAGTGTTCTACAGGTCTACAACTTGCCAGGAATGTGTGCAGCAAGTTAACAAGAATTACAATTTAACCCTGCCACAAAACCCTGCTTGAAGCAGGTCAGCAGGTCAAATGTACATGTTATTAAATTCTGAATAATCTTGAAGTGTCTCAAACTGATGTCAAAGTGATACCATCGAGACAGGCCCTGATATAATTAAGTCTTTGGGAGGTAGAGGGAGATGTTAATGAAGATGCTTTGAAGTGGATAGAGAAAGTAGGATGTCAGAAGTATATTGGTTCTCATTCATGCTAAAGGCAGAGATGTAACTCAGGGAGTTGCAGAGGTGCAGACTTTGGTTAATTGTTTCACCCTTCAGGTTAAACCAGGGGTCTCAAACTCAATTAACTCGGGGTCCACTCGACAAATTTATTTCTCCCGTGGGGGCCACTTGCCAAATTTCATACTTTTAAATAAAAGCTAACTGTGTCCGGTTTGGTACTACAGACACTAATACACACACACCCCCGTTCAAGTTAATGATCAGGTGACAGCAGCACCATGTAAATGCCTGCACACCACATGTAATGATACGTGATATGATTACATTCGGTTAGGAATCAATTACTATTCCCGGACACATCTATTGTGCATCCAGGGAGAGTGTTTTCTAACCGCATGTAGTAATATCACATAACATTACATGCGGTGTGCAGACGTTTACATTCAGCTGCTGTCACCTGTTCATTAACTTGAACGGGGTGACAGCTGCCGCTTGTAAATGTCAAATTAGGGATTCCTAGTGTAGGAAAACGCAAGTTCCTGATGCAGGAATCCCTAAATTGCTCCTAAACTTACAGGTGTGAATGGAGCCTAATACACTCCCTGCCCCATACACATAAAAAAAATAATACCACTGCACAAATAAAATAATACACCCCCCCATACACATAAAAGAATACTACCCCTGACCAAATAAATAATACGCCCCCCATACACATAAGAAATACTACCCTGCACAAATAAATAATACGCCCCTCCACACACATAAAAAGATACTACCCCTGCACAAATAATACACCCCCCATACACATAAAACAATACTACCCCTCTACATATAAAATAATACACCCCCCTGTACATACACAAAAACATACCCCCTCCACATATAAAAGAACACAGCCCCAGTACCCCCCCCCCCGCACCCACACATGTGAAATGTAATACAGAGCCCCCTCTCCTGCTTACCTTTTTGTAGGGAGGAGGCTGTGTGAGGAGGCACCATCCATGGATTAATTAGTGAGGTCTGCAGCAGACTTTACCAATCAATCAACGAGTGCCGACACAGAAGCAGCTATGCGTTCTGCATTCAACAGAGATGCAGACCATGTAGCTGCTCCCACAAGTCAGGTACGCGGTCCGTGACCGCATACCTGACTTGTGAGCTGGCTGCGGGCCACATAGTACCGGCTCGCGGGCCGCGGGACAGTACTTTGAGACCACTGGGTTAAACAGTATAGCAGGAATGCCCAACTCCCACGTCATCAGCAAGGAATGATAAATATTTTTGGAGACAAAACAGTTCACATACAGTATCTGTATACAGGGTAGCTTTACTGTGCATATGATTAATTTCGGTTAGAAAACACTCTCCCTGGATGCACAATCAGAAATGTAATCATATCACATACCATTACATGCAGCTGATGTCACCTGATCATTAACTTGAATGGGTGACAGCTGTCACTTGTAAAAGCCAGATTAGACATTCCTGCTGCAGGAAAAAGCAAGTTCCTGATGCAGGAATCCCTAATTGTACCTAAACTTACAGGTGTGAATGGAGCCTAATACACCCCCCCCATACACATAAAAAAAATGACTACCCCTGCACATATAAAGTAATACACCCCCCATACACATAAAACATGACTACCCCATCACACATAAAATAATACACTCCCGCCATACACATAAACAAAATAAACCTCCCCATATCTAAAATAATACACCGCCCATGCACATAAAAAAATGCACCCCCCTACATATAACTATTGTACAACTACTATTTTTAATCTTGGCACCTATGTTGATTGATATGGTAGAGGGTCTCTATCTTTTTCTTCCAGAGCACTTTTACAAATGCTAACATCCCATAGGCAGGTATACCTCTCTTTTTCCAAATGAGATGTGTAAAGGATTGTTAAGGGTTCTAGAATGTAGCTCTGCAAAAAAGAATTTGGCTTTGTAGTCATTAGGGCCAAGGGCTTTATTATTGTGGAGGTGATATATAATAGTGGCTACTTCTGCAGAAGAGATATCAGCGCTTAAGGCTGATAATTGTGTCTGAGAGGTTTTAGGGTTAGGGTTAGGGTTAGGAACCTTTGTTAAGAATGTTGCACAATCTGCTTGATATAATTGGGAAAAGAAAGCATCTAGAACTTAATTAATTTGAGGAATCTCTATTTATAATGTAGTCACCTTCCTGTACTAAAATGTGTGCATGAATCAAGATCGGTGCATGATCTGAGATAATATAAGTTTACAACAACACCATTATGTAATATTTTACCAATATTTTGCAGTACCACCATTTTTATTTGTGCTTTTCCAGCAAGGGCCAGAAAATGTGAAAAATTAAACATGGTTTGAGTCTATTATTTCTGTGCTGTATTCAAAATGAACACTAGATGGCAACATCTTGTCATTATTAAAGCCATCTGTAAATCTATGGCTTGGTTTAACAAGAGCATGAGAATTTGTTTGGTGTTTGTAAAATTTAAAGGCTAAGTCTGCCCAAAAATGATACTTAAAGTATATGTAAACCCTAAATGAATGGCATTTAGGGTTGTGTATGAACTGTAAATTTAATGCATCTAGTGCAGAATACCAAGCTCTGTGTTTTAACCCCTTCAATACTGGAATATGTCTTCATTTCTAAAGAATTGTGGAAAAACATCAGATCACCTTCTTTCCAAAAATGGATCATTTTGGGGGGTTTCATACAATCCTTGCATTTCATGGGAAAATAATGTTCCCTTTATTTTGTAAACCTTTTTCCTTTATATAAAAAAATAAATAAAAAACACAGTGGTTGTTAAATACCACCAAAAGAAAGCTCTACTGGTCTAAAAAAAAAATGGTATAAAAAGAACTTGCCAGTCAAACTATCACAGCTCTGAAAAATGGCCCGGACAGGAAGGGGTGTAATGTGCTGGTCCTAAAGTGGCTTAAAAAAGTTTAAAAACAACTTTTAAAGTTACATTTACTTGTATTGAATGACTTTAGTAAAAATAGTAGTACCATCTGCTGCTTTGTGTCCCATTTTTTTCCTTTCTTCAAGATATGCAACATAACCTGTCAAAACAGACCTGTTACTGATATGCAAATTTTAACAGTCAAAAGTGAGCAACAACAAAGCCCTCATTTTCACCTCTGTCCGCTGACATATGCCGAGAGAAGTGACACACGATTGTCACCGGAACGGCAGAGGTGACTTTGAGGAGCAGAATAGCAGCACCCATTGTTGGAGTAATGGGATGTCAAGGACCAACCCGAGCATAGCTTTTGTTCTGTGGTTTCGCCTCAGTAAGTTGTTGTATAGCGAACCTCTTCATATTTGGCACAGCTTTCTGTAAACATTGGCAAAGTCAAGGATTTATTTAAAGCAACTATATCTACAAAATCAAACTGTGAATTGAAGTGCTGCCTGCAAAGATAAATACTTATCTCTCTCACTGCCTGCGCTTTGAATTTCTGCGGTGATAGAGAGATATCGATACTGGAATACTCCTTAAGAACCATTCTTGACCCCCATTTGTGCACA